TTTGGATATGTGAATATTTGATTTAGCAAGCATACCTCCTTCTAATAAATGACTAGAATGAACTCTTCATTATGTTAGAGTACCTGTGTGTATTTTTTCCATGTAATAACATTTCTAGGGTGGGAGAGAATTCAAGTTTCAAGAAAAATGCAAACTGGGGGAAAAGAGTGCCAAAACTAAAGGCCAGAGAATAATTTTTCTCTCCTGTGATTTGCTCCAGGCTTACTATGTTACTCAGAGCTGGCAATGGTTGAAAGTATTATACTGTTGGACAAGATCCAACTTCCATGTCCAAGGATGATGAAAAAATGATTCTGTTACAGCCTTATCTCCACCTGGGCACTCAAGTCAAGTTACAACTGTTCTGATGGTGCCCCGTGCATTGGCCCAGACAGAAACTACAATCCTAAAGCAATCCTCAATGGAATCAATCCTTTATCAGACCTAGTGAGTGAATTATGCCTAGTGAGTTATTCTTAACCATTGTGTGCCCTGAACAGAATTTTATCAAGAAGACTAGGAAAATAAACACATATACTGAACAGCTTTGAAAAATGTAATCCAAAAACCGGATGAGTCATGTTCATCTCAATTAAGTTCATACAAAATCCACTGCTTTCCTGACATGTATCCCAGTGAAACCAAATACTATATAATATTGGCATATGCTTATTTCATACATAATTTCTGCCATTAGCATAAATCTTTGGGGTCTTTTTTTATTGTCTAGGCAAAATTATAATATTACTATTGAAATGCTGCAGTAGGATGGGAGGTATTTGTAATTTGTATTTTAATGAAAGAAAAAAAAATTAAAATTATTGCATCCACATAGATTTGTTCTGTTTTAAAATATTTCTTGTACCCTTATTTTCATTTTCCAAAATTACTTTACAAACTAAGGTCTTTTGAGGTTGTTAGCAATGCAAACTGATTAAGCTGATAATAATATTGTGAAAGATTTAAAGACTAGTCCATTGTGATATAGAGTAATTAATAATACTGCATCTATTGCAGATGTTTTTATAGATAATTTCAATAAATGAATATTTACAGTATGTGAGAATTTCTTTTTTTTTGTTATTTTTATGGATGCAAGCTGGCTTACAGCTGAATTGTCTGCCTCAACAGGAGTGTTTTTCAATATTTAAAAGCACACTACAGAATAGTTTGTCACAAATGTACTGGATATATCCAGCTTTGGGTAATTGAATACCCACATGTTCAAAGAATTCACAGAAGCAGTGCCCTTCCTGAATCAAAATGAGACTAGAATAAGAGGATATTTCACAGCTTTAGGAAGAAGTTCAGAAATGTTAAGACACCTTAAATGTACTTTATGAAGGTTTCAGCAATATTTTGAAGGGGATTTGCTAACAAATGCTAGAATGAGTTATTTTCTATGTGGCCAGGAGATTGCAGTGGCAAAACAAAACTTAGAAATAACACAGTTATACTTCCCCACTTCGAACACCACAGCAGTCAGTGCAGAGGGGTGGCAAAAAGCATTAATTACAGTTCATGGTTTCTTAGCTCTGGCGTCATCAGAGGTTAAATTCTGTAAGTGAGAATATCTTAAGTATCACAGCCATAATAGTTTAATTTTTTTTTCACAAAATCTTTTACCTGATACAAATTAAGGAATGGCACATTTCCCCTTTTTAGCATCTTTTGCATAGAAAAAAGATTATGGAAGAAAGATTACATTTACCTTTCAAAATTTCCTTTCTTCCTTTCCCCATGTATGTTGGGAAGACCAGCTGTATATTGACTACAACTGTTACTTTTAGTGGGATAACAGAACATTAGCTCTTGCCAAGACACAGATTTGCAAATAACTAGATTTGCAAGTATTCGGTGCTCATCAGGATCATCTCTCAGAGGAGAAGTTGTTCTTATTGCTCTCATCCAGTCTCTTCATCTGCACTACTAATAGAGGAGAGCTCTTAGCCTACATTTCTTCTTCCTTTCCCCTTTTCTCCACGTTCAGTCTTCACATTTGCAAATTACATTATACGTACATGTGATATAATTACTTAAAAAATAAATTTTGGTAGAAGCTCATGCAGTTTCCTAGTGCAGGTGCAATTAATAACAGATGATAATTATATATCCTTATAAAATACTACTAAAGTCTGTAGAGTTCTTGTTTAATGGATTTTCATGAATCAACTTTTAGCAAAGGTGAGATAAGGTAAAAGACACCTTCAGGAACTAAAATGTCTCCCTTCTTCTTTGGAATCTCCTCTACAATGGACCTTTTGCTGTGTTATGATCTCTGTTATTATTGGAAGTATCTTCTAGAAATATAATGTGTAGACTACTCTTTACATTTTCAATGTGGCCTATTAGACCAATTTTTGAAATTAAAATTTGCCAATAACCCAGAGAGATAGGACAACCTTGATTTACAGCAATCTCTCAAGAAAAGTAGATACTCAGATCTGTTCTTTGCAAATAAGTCACAAATAAAGGCTTTGAAAATGAGGTTTTGAAAAATTCATGGGGCTGCTTACTGACCATTTACTGTCACATGACGAAGTCAAAGGGAGAATTAAAACTTGTTAAGCTTCTGGAAATCATCTGGCCAGATGTCTTAATTTGCTAAAACAACATTTAAATATAATTTCCTAATTAATTAAAAAAAAAAAAAGAGTTAAAAGGACACTCAAAAGAAGTGGCTGAGAAACCAGTCAGGCCCAAGTACAAGTGAATCTTGTACCTGTCAAGAGACAACTCTTTGTGTGTATGTGTGCACGAGATGGAAACAGTGTCTAGTTTGACAGGATAATGTTCAGAAATTATGCAATCACTAATGGAAAGGCTAATGAATTAAGGATGTAGTTAACAAGATACCAAAATATTGAGGTCCAACATATTATTAATCAGTGAAATACTGGTATATTTCAGCATCTGAAGCCTGATGTCTGGAAAAACCACATTAAACATTTAGAAACAATACTTTCTGGCATCCCTTTCTGTAAACGGATCCTATCAAAGTGTAATTTTTGGTATATTTTCAATTCCCCTTGTCTAAACATTTGTTTAGTGTTCTCATGTACTGCTAAACATCTGCCACATTTGATTTCGGATGCAGTTCTGTTTCAATGATGAGTAAAAATGTTCCTGCATGTATATTTTTCAATCATTACTATTAATAAATAGCTTGGGACTGAGTGCCTGCCTGAGCATTGGAAACTCCTAATTTTGTGTTTAAAAAGGTCCTTGCTCTGAAAATGCAAAATTTGAGGGTAATTTTAAAGCAGACCACTACAATAAACAGTGTTCATTTAAAATGTTTTCCATAGTTTTAAGACACTTCTTACAGCAGTTCTCCTCAAGAAGAAGTTTTAAGGTACCTTAGTTTTAAGGTATCTATTATCTTTTAGTCTCAAAGGTCAGCTCCAGACCTAGGAGACATCTGGTAGCTAGCCCATTGTTGTGGAGAGAAACAGCACTCTCTTGTGCAATGCTGATGCTTCACAATAATGTCATATATTTGCCTTGTTCACATTTAGAAAATGCCATTCTTATAATCTGTGGAGTAGCCCTGCATGGAAGGCCTAATAGCATGCACACAACAAAAGAAAATACCTAGAAAAGTACATGTGAAAATGTGTACTGTCTGTAAGTAAACAAAGTATATTTATCACAGCTGCACTAACACTCCAACATGAAATTATTGGATAGTTAACTATTCAGCCCTTATTTCATTTTAGATTACTTTGTTATTGGGAGTCTTGCTAAGCAATAGGATACTATAGAAGACGTTTAAGTTAAAATATACCTGAAATAGCTTGTAAAAGTGTATGGATGACCAGTTCTAAAAGGCACTAAGCTGCATCATATCTGGTTTTTTTAAACTGTGTGACCTCTTTAAACTATAACCACCTTTATACTTCTCTGCTAGTACGATATTGTGTATTTATATAGGGGATTAGTAATAGCACAACTGCAATGTAATCAAATGCAGGATTCAATAACAACACAGAAGTTAAAATACCGTATGAATATAAAATTCCCTTTCAATCTTGCTCAACCTAATTGACGGCTTCCCCCTGCTCTCTTTTTCTTACTTTGTTTTAAATAATGTACTTTTTTCAGCTACCACTATGACAAGGAAGGTGAGAAAGGAGAGGGATAGCAGAGCAGGTTTATTTTGGTAACATTCTTGTTCATGTGGAAGAATATTGCATTACATGCAGTTTGACCCCCAGATAAGAATGTTCAAAGAAACAGAATCAGAGGCCAATTATGAACCTTCAGCCTTCAATCTAAAGTGAAGGATTGTGACAGTTTGCTTAAGATGGGAGCTTTTTGGTAAGTGAGCTGTGTTAGAGGAGTGATGCCTAATTAACTAATTGATCTGATACAAAGCTGAAGCCTCTCATAAAAGAAAAAGGAAAAGTGATCACTTTGGAAAATCTTGCCATTTCCTCTTGTGATCATCTTAATTATTTTCTGATAAAAATGATAAAAGTGAAGGGGGAAAGAGAAAGGAAGGATGTGATAAATTAAGAAGCACATGACCAGTTGTAATGTGTCAAATATTTTAACCCAAGGTGTAGCTGCTTTTTATCTCATCTAGATGCAATGAAGTTTAATATAACAGAATTATATTTGAGTTCCTTTACAATAACTGAAGCCTTAGTGACAGATAAACAATTATTTAAAACTATTTTACAGAAGCTTATTTTATCAATCACTGTGTTTATCCCCAAGCTAACTATTAAGGAAAAAACAATCTAGATTTTTTTAGGTGGCTAAATTATTCATTTTACTTGTTTGGACATTTGAACATGTCCATTGTAAATGTGTTGGTTAAGTTCCATATGAATTATGAATTCTATCAGAATTCTTTGGCCAAAGCGAAGTGTACACATACACACCAGTATCATCAGCTTAGAAATATGACTGGTGATTTTTTGACAGCTGCAGAAATTAAAAAAAAAAATCAAATTATTCAGAAAGCAAAATAACAGAAAACAATGAATTCTTACCTGAGAGGAAGCAAGAAAATTAAGGTGCTGAGTGTTGAATCCTTTGGCCATTGAAGTTTACAAATGTTAGTGGTCTTAATATGCCAATGGAAACACAAGATTATGATTCAAAAACTCTTTGGTTACATTTCACACCAATAGTATCAGTGCTCTCAGTGTAATGTAATGACCTTGATGATGAACTACTGAAGCTCCTTCCTAGGGCTTGTGCTTGCGGTTGAAAACTGAGAAGGGTAGATTAATACGAAGAAAACACATGCAGGTCAAATAGCTTGCCATGCTCAGTGTATTCACTTCAATGTACCTTCATAAACTTTAATGTATTTTAAAAAGGTATCCCCTTTCAAAGCTTATTAGTGGTTTCAAGGGTTGCAGAAAAAAAACCAAAATGGACACAAAGTCCTATCTTTTGTATGTGTTGTATCATTTCAGAGTTCAGCCACATTCTGTATTTTAGTCCAAGTGAATTACAGTAAACAAGTGTGGTCAGCAAGATGTAATCTAAACACCAGTAGCCAGCATGCAACATTAATCTGGAGTATTTTTCTCTGCACCTTCAATTCAGAAATTCCTTGCATTTAAAGATTGAGCCATAATTTTACACAGGTATGAGAAATTACTTTCCCTTATATTGAGGCTTACTTTTAATGTATGTGGCAATTTTGGCAGAATCCCTATAGCTGCAACATTTGCTTTCAGTTTTTCTTCTCCAGTGTAAAACTGAAATTATTTCTGTCAGTTTATGAAGGAACAGTTGTTTTCCTTTATAATTTTCTTTAATGCATCTGGAAGACTATTTTATACTGCTGTATTTTCAAAGCTTATCTTCTTGTATAAATGTTTAAGTATGGATTTATGAACATCCTGAGAATGGTGGTAATTATCAAAAACCATATTCCCTTCCTCCTTTTCTCACTCTATAAAACACTTTCCTCCAAAGAGAGATGCTACACAATATTTTGTGGAATTGCTGTGGAATAAGTTGCTACTCACTGAAAGCAAGGGATTGGATCTGCTTCTCAGAGTATGTTGTGTATAATGTACACTAGTACATGTTTGCTTTTTGAATTAGAGGTGTACAGAAAACAGCATGCTATGAAAAGCCAGTGTCCATAAAGGAGACAGAGGAGTCCTGCAAATTGATTCGAATAAAGGGAGAGTCCACTGAGGCACATGCCCACAGGGTTTTCTCTCTCGGGGTTTTGGAGGGGGAAACCTCCTTTCATCCCAAACTCCTGGCCACACGTTGCCCTCTTCCTTTCCCCATTCCTGAGGTACAGAGAAGGTACAGCCTTCCCAAACCTCGTACCACACATGCCCTCTTGAATTTACCATTTTACCCTAAAGTTCAGCAACTCAAGCTTGTGCAGATCCACTTCTCTGTTTCAGGAGCCAGACTGTCTGGACTCTGTAACAAACCTGCTTCTTGAAGTTAATAGAGAACTTAAGACCCATTTCAAAGAGGTAAACACCCATATCTTCACCAACAGAAATACTTGTAAACACCTTAGCACACATCTTCTCTATCAGAGAAGATAGTGAGCTTCAATACTAATAATTTGCTTTGGTCTGGAGTTGAAGAGGCTTGCAGTATAATGAATTACTGATTTGACAGTCACCTTACACCAAATTCAGAAGGCCCCTGTTTATATTCTAGCCTCTTAATGTTATCCTTTTGCCCAGCTTTGGAAAACCAACATGGCATGCTTAACAGCTAATTAGGGGCCCTGACCTGACATAAGAGAAGCAGGGTTTTGGGTCAAGAAGGTAATTAGGAAGAACTGAAAGACACAGTATCCTTTTCTCTCCTGTGCCCACTTTACCCCCCCATCCCCACTGCATTCTTGGAATGGAAGAAGAATGACCATTTTTGTGATTTTGCCCGTATCATGAACTCCCTCACCACAATGACTCCACTACCGTCTTTCATCCTACGTCCATTTGTTTGCTTCTACATAAATTTGCAAAGGGAACCACACCATTTTATTCAGATTTATTAAATGTAGGTGGGAATTGACAAAAGTTTCTCACAGATCCTTACTACTTGTAAATTCGTAAATCCTACAAGACTAACAACATTTTTTTCATGAATTAGCTGATATCACTATTGCAAATGTAGATCAGAAAGTGAGAGCACAAGGAGTTTTAGATACTCATTTAGATCATTTCTACATATGCTTTCACTAGTTTAGATCACGTGCACATATGCTTTGTAATAAAATGTAATTTTTAGAGCTATAAAAAACCCTCTCAGCTGTTCTTTTCAAACTAGATGTCTGCAATTTTTAATCTAATTTTTGTGTAGATTTACTCAACATTCCCCAAACTTTTGAGTCATGGGTATGAATACACATAGTTTCTCAATGCAGATTTTGTAGCAAAGCCACAGTGCACCTGATTACCAGTATATCATAACTCCAGCTTACTCCTAACTCTAAAAAGTATATATTTTTCAGGATATGAATGAAGAATCTCCTAGGTTTACTTTAATCCTTTACCCTAGAACTCTTTCACAGGCTTCAGTTTTCATTATTGCAAAGCTTTTCTAGAATGGAATTACGTAAATTTAAAAATCTTATCAGAGGTAATAAATTATTTTAAAAAAGAAAAATAATCTACTGAAATACTCTGCTTCTTTTGCTCACTCTAATCAGTGTTAAAATTGTTAATCTGTGTGAGGGGAAAGACTATGCAACTTTGTGAACAAGATAGAATTGGAAATATCTTAAGAACAAGAAGGAACTTAAAAGGTCTTATTCAGGACCAAGTATAAGATCTGATTTCCAGAAAATTAAATATTTTCAAAGTGTGAGTTTAACTACAGTATTTACAAATCTTTAGAGTGTGTGGGAAACCTGTACTGATTCTTTAAGGCACAGACAAGAGCAGATAGATCTGGGCCAGTTTTTCCATGATGGAAAATAACAGAATTTTGTAGATTTATTTTTTTGATCAATGAAAGATAATAGACACTTACACAAGAGCTAATAAGATAACTGATATGGAACATTCAATGCCACATTAAATGCTAAGCACAAGCATTAAAATACTTCTGTGTCTTTAAAAACATTTCTAATTAGTACATGATGACTAATGCTTTTGCTTATACATTTCCCCAAAATGTCTTGTAAATTCATGTTGTTAATATCTAGAACTGATGCAACCCTAACTTAAATCACAGAGACCTGAGATATCTCTGAAATAAAACTGCATTTTTAAAAGAATATACACTAGAGAAATGAACAATTTTAGATACAAGACTTATGAAGTAAAATATTTAATTTTTGGTAATGATAAATACAGCTACATTTTTTGTATGATCTGAACTTATCCATTGAAATGAAGCTGGACCACAGAAAAGAACACAAATCTCCAAAACAGCCTAATTCTTCTACTTTCTACTGAATTTCATGCTTAACTTCACATGTCAAATGTTTAAAAAACTATGTGGGTGTTACTTAGATCTATATTTATACATATGAAAATAAAGCTAATACAATACACTTTGCACTGCATATAAATTCTTCTTCATAGGCTGTCAGTATATACTTAAAGATGCATTCAGTTGGGTGGTTCTTTCCTCTACATCTGCAAAGGAAGTGCTTTGGAAAGTTTCTATATTCATTTCAGGAATATAAATTGCTCAGAGCATAAACATATACAAATGTGTATTTTGAGTGTAAAACAAAATGTGGATAAAACCAAGAACAATTTTCAGTAAGTGATTCCACACTGAATAAGAGTCTTTCACTCAGGAGTTTGAAACTGACTTGAGCAAAGATTAGAGACCCAGTATTTTTAGATGGAAAGGGGAAAAGTAGTAAACTGCTTTGTTTCTAAAATGCAATTGGTTATTTTAAATTCCAGGTTCAGTTGTATATCTTTATAATTTATGTTCATTTTCAAATGTTGTAGCTAATAAGCAATTGTCTGAGTCTATAGTTCAGCTACATTGAAATATTGGAAAGGTAAGTGTAACTTTTACATTTTTTCATACAATAGGAAATTATTATTTATAAGTAAGGATATTTAATTAAATTTGGATTACATATGAAGCTTTAGTCTGACAGTCTGTTTACTTTGTCACAAATTCTAGTGATGAAAACTTTACTAGAGATATTACAATATATATGAGGGAATAAAAGAGCAGTTGTCAAAGTTGGTACAAAGGGGCAGTTAGCTTGTATACAATGCTCTAAAAAACAAGTACAGACCAATATTTCTGCTTGCCAATTTCCCCTTCTTCAACATGATTCCAAGACTGAGGTAACAGTCAAGTGTTAAACCCTTGCTCGTTTTTTTTAATTATTATTTTTAAATGGCAAATGAAGCCTAACTGAAAATTTTATTGTTTTCGTGTCCGCTTCCTACATGCATTAGCTCAGGAAGTGATAAAGCTGCAGCAATTACCTATGGCCTTTTCAGTGACTAATGCCAAGTGATTTCCTGAGTACTTCTAGACAATGGGTCAGGAAATCAGCCTCGTGACCAGGAAACTTTAATTATTTTTGCATTTTTTTTCTTAAAGCTAAGAGGCCTAAAACAATAGATGCAATAAAGTACTGTTCAGTTCATGATTGCAATGCCTATAAGCAGAGATGGGCAAAGAGATAAATGTCTGAAGTATTCATTTTAAATCAAACTCTTTTTTCTGATATTGGCACTTCTGTTCTCAATTATTTTTCATCATTGACACTTGCACAAAAAAATTTTATATTTTATTCAAAGTACACCAATATATTTGAATGCCATACAAAATTCACCACATAGTAATCATATGTAGGGTAATAAACATAAATTTCTATATGCACCACCACCACCAATTTTCACAACCAAATAGAAATTTTCTAACAAAACTTTTTTGTTGTTGTTGCTGTCATTCTTGAAGTCAAACAATTATTTTTTCCTTCACTTTACCTTGAAAATTTTGAATAACATCCCCATCAAAATTTAAGAAAGCTCCCAATTTCTTCAATGGGGCTTGATGACAGTGGGCCTGAGATATCAGCCCATGTCTCTTAAGCTTCAAATGATATTTTAGCTCCTTCTGTTCATAACAGAAGTGAGGAAAACAGACCTGGGAGAGAGTTTTTAAAACCTTCTAAGTATTGTGATTCAC